GATGTGGCTTAGAGACCTAACAATGAGGAAGGAAAGAAAAAAAATTGGGCTGTGAATGACTGTCACCACGGGGGGGGGGGAGGGGGGGTTGTATGTTTAAAATTGTATTTGTATTTGTATGTTTTACTCTTAAAAATGTATAACTAATAAAGATTTATTTAAAAAAAACATTCTACCTAGTAAGCTGCTTATCTGATGATGACAGCAGGAAAGGGTTATGCTCTTATAATATTTCTTTTGAAGAGAGATCATTCAAAAAATAATCCTATAGAGAATTATTTCCTATTAAAAATAAATGTTGAAAATCTTTGGAAAAAGAAAGTCCTTGAATCCAAGACATGGTCTTGCTAGGGCTATGCCAGAGCTTGTTCCTTTCAATCCAAATCCCAACCCAAACTCCAGGTTCCAAGCATGAAGATGAATATTGATATCCAGAACATTAATAATGTTAATGTCTGTTCAGCCCTGTCAGTGTGTATAAACTAGTTACCATCACCACATTTTGAATAACAGAGTTGGAAGGGACCTCGAAGATCTTCTAGTCCAACCCCCTGCCTAGGCAGGAAACCCTACACCACTTCAGACAAATGGATATCCAACATCTTCTTAAAAACATCCAGTGTTGGAGCATTCACAACTTCTGGAGGCAAATTGTTCCATTGATTAATTGTTCTAATTATCATGAAATTTCTCCTTAGTTCTAAGTTGCTTCTTTCCTTGATTAGTTTCCACTCATTGCTTCTTGTCCTTCCCTCAGGTGCTTTGGAGAATAGCTTGACTCCCTCTTCTTTGTGGCAGCCCTTGAGATATTGCAACACTGCTATCATGTCTCCCCTAGCCCTTTTTTCATTAAACTAGACATACCCAATCCCAGCAACTGTTTTTTATATATATTTAGCCTCCAGTCCCCTAATCACCTTTGTTGCTCTTCTCTGCACTCTTTCTAGAATCTCAACATCTTTTTACATTGTGGCAAGCAAAACTGAATGCAGTATTCCAAGTGTGGCTTTACCAAGGCATTATAAAGTGGTATTAACACTTCATGTGATCTTGATCCTATCCCTCCGTTTATTGATGATATCTGACCCTTTGCTCCTATATGACCTCCCGGGTGCCCTCATATTGATGTTAAACAGAAGTGGAGAGAGCACCTTGTTCTGAGGAACACACAAAAAAATTGTCTCAGGCTTGATCTCTTCCCCTCTGCCAAAACTAGCTGGAACCAAACCAGAGAGAGGAGATGAACCACTGAAGCATGTCCACAGGGTAATTACAGGCAAAAGTCCAGTAATTAAAAACGTATATCCTAAATCAATGGGGTATTACAACCTTCAAATGCAACGTCACAAGGTAAGTATGTACTTCTTTAAAACCAAATCCAATGCCATTATGTAGTAGATATCAATTTAAAGTGATTTTCCAACTATTCCCTCTTTAAATACCTTATATTTCTGGAGGTATTCCTGGACAGCTTTATGTCCCACTATATTTTTTATGTTTTCCTCATCCTTAGAAATAGCATTTTCCATCAAAATAATCCAACTCATGACTTCTGTGATGGCATGGCGAGAAGGAAGCTTATCCATTTGCAGCTACAAAAAAGTAAATCAAAACAAGAACGAAGAGCCTGTACATGCTTTGTTTATAGGTATATCATTGTGTATATATTATGATGGAGAATATATGTTCAAATATGAAACCAACTTTTCTAATTTGAAAATATTCAACATAATTAAAGATAAATAAAATATATAATAAAGATATTAAAATATATATTATAATGTCCCTCTCACACACACGGGGGGGGGGGGGAGAGAAAAAGAGAGAGAATATATATACAGTATACACACATACATGCACACAAAATATAATTGCCAGTACTTTAAAGATACTTTGCCTTTCAGTATCAACAACTGCATATATATATAAATCCCATTCACATCAATGCAATTTAATTCAAAGTAAATTGCCTAGAATTAACATTTAAAATTAGACTGGTATTATTTATTTAGTCCAATCAGTGGTGGGTTTCAAAAATTTTTAGAACCTCTTCTGTAGGTGTGGCCTGCTTTGTGGCAGTGGCTTGCCAGCCATGTGACTGGGTGGGCGTGACCAACTTGTAAAATGTGGCGAAACTAACTTAACAACGCTGTTGCTTAGCAACCAAAANAAACAAATATAAAAAGGATTTAGGGTTAGAGATTTTAAAGAAACATTAAAATATATTTGAAAATAGCAAAGTATTTTATATAATGATTTAACAGACTACCGTAAATTTACACAATTCAAAGATATGTACACACACACACACACACACACAGTAGTAGTAGAATATGTAAAAGAATATATACTATATACACTCATTTATATTCACAAAAATGATTTCAGCTCAAAAAAATGGAACTTTATATCTAATTCAAAACACACCTCCAAAACTTACTATTTCCCCTTTATTTCTTTAGAAATTTTCAACACAATAAAAGTGTTAAAAATTAAAGAAAATAGATAGAAAATAAGAAAAAAGGAAAACAGAATTATGACATCTGCCCTTCTTTTCATCTAGTAATTGCCATCTTTCCCATTTTACTTGAATACTTTTAAATCCCCAAATCTATGAAGCATCTATTCATTATCTTCTTTTTTCAACAAAAAGTCCATATAACATTTCTAATCTTAGTTAGCTCTACAATTTTTTAATCTACTTTCTCAATTTGCCAAAGGCAATCTGCATTACACTAGATTTCCAATTTGCTAGTAGGTACAAATTTTAGATTTTACTTAAAACAACAGCAATATTTTCATACCTTAAGTTCATTTCTTTCAAAGTATTATTAAGCGCTTCTGTAACTGGTGGATGGCATTCTTTTAATAGTGCATTGGTGACTGACCCAAATTTTTGTAAGCGATGGTCTTGCTTTTGCAATTCATCTAGCAAGTTCTAAACAAAGAAAAATAAGATTCAAGCAAACAGAAATGTGCAGGTTTTTTAAATTGTAAAAGATAGCATTTTTTTAAAAAAAACCTCATTTTTTTAAAAATCTCATTTTTAAAATCACAATCGGTAGGTAACAGAGGTGGTATTCAGCCGGTTTGGACCAGTTTCGGCAAACTGGTAGCAGAGATTGCGAGTGGGTGGGTCTGACCCCGCCCACTCATTCAGGTTCTATGCCTCCTATTTAGCCACATTTTTGTGGCCGGGCACATGCACGGAGGCATGCGCATGAGTAAAGTGAATGCACGGAAGGCTGGGTGCATGCACAGAAGGTGCACACACGGGACGAACAGGTGGTAAAAATAAGTGAAACCCACCTCTGGTGGGTAATTATTATAGCAGGCACTAAAATGATGGGAGCAAAGAAGTAATGAAATTCTGAAGCATCATTGAATAAATATTGGTATAAGTTGTCTTGGACTAATTTTAAATTTATTTCATAACTACATTTAGAGTGGCAATTGTTTATTTTCTTAACATTCTGGCAAAATTCCATGATCTTGCTTAATATAATAAATATGTTTGTTCTTATGGCTTACCTGAAGATTATCTACTTGGACTTTCACTGCTTCCAGAGAGCCAGTAAGAAGATGAAAGCGAGACAGGGAATACCTTGCTTCCATTATGTAGCTATTAAGTTCTTCATAAGATGCTTTGTAAACTCTCCACTGATGAAGGACAGATTGTAGCAGTGTTTTCAGCTGACCAACCTGGCCACAATGAAACAAGAAATATAATAAGTATTTAAAAATATCAATGTATTTATTGAAATGTGTGAATTGAAAAAAAGAATTGTCATATTTTATGACATATTTTGTCTATAGTAGATTTTTTTAAAACAAATGATGACTATTTAACTAGGAATGTAGTTATTTTCTGTCCCTTCCCTAATTCCTATTTAGAAGCTATGTGCAACTGCTTAATTTGCTGGAGATAATCAATATTTTTACTTTGAAAGAAATATAATGTTTCTACCTTCAGAGAGAGGGGGAGGGAGGAAAGGGGGAGGGAGGAAGAGAGATATGAACTGTGAAGACAAGATTTTCTTACATTTGCATAGAAAACAGTTTTAAAGGAAAAAGAAGCAAATGGGAGGAAGGTACAAATATTGAAAGCAAATAATTGAAATGGAAACAGGGAAGGAAGAGAGAAAAAAACATCAATTCAAGCAAGATGGCAATATTCATTCATTCATTATGCCATCCCACTCACTAACCAAAGCAACTCTGTGTGGCTTACAATTTCATAAAATAATAAATATAAAAACATTAAAACTAACAACACTTAAATGAAGGCTGAAAACCCAGAACACAAATGGTATAAGGAGTATATTATTCTTGGCTTCCTCTTGTCACTTTGCAAGGAATACACATCTATAATGAATAGCCTCTTCTACCTAAAGACATGCTCCACATGAATGAGGACTCTGGAAAATCAGAATATTCAATTAGGGGAGATGAAAGGATTGAGGAGGGAATAAGGCCGATATACTGACAGAAGTAGGCAGGACTAGAGATAGGCTACTGCTTTGGAGACCCAAATTTCTGCAATGTCTTTTGTGTGAACACTGTGAATGTGAATAGTTAGTGGATATATAAGCAGATGGGATATCAATTTTACAATTCCCTAGACTTAGAATAGAATAAGCTGGAAGGTACCTTGGAGGTCTTCTAGTCCAGCCCCCTGCTCAAGCAGGAGAACCTATACTATTTTAGATAAGTGACTGTCTAGACTCTTCTTAAAAACATCCAGTGATGGAGTGCCCACAATTTCTGGAAGCAAGCTGTTCCACTGGTTAATTGTCCTCACGTTAGGAAATTTCTCCTTAATCAAGGAGAAAACCCCACCCTCAACACTTCTAAGGCAGGCTACTATATATAAACAGGGAGCAAACCAAACACTCATTAGCATCCCTGTCAAAAAGGGAAATGTCTGCAAGCAAAAAAAAAAGCAATTTTAGAAAGCATCAAGGACTTCACAGTTCAACCCTAAGCTACACAGATTCTCTTCTATTGCAATTCCGATATAAAAGATAAAACAGATTTAGGCTCTGAAATGTTTATCCCTTCCCTTTTTGAATTGTATGTGGAATTTCACTTCTATTTTAGATCAGCTGAAAGTTTCTATGCCATATGAATATCTATGTCATGTTAAGAAATGTAGTTAATATTAACCATGATTAGTGCATCATTGAGGACTTGAATGAACAGGTTAGGGTATATAAAGCTGCGGTGACGCAGTGGTTAGAGTGCAGTACTGCAGGCCACGTCTGCTGATCACAGCTGCCAGCAGTTTGCAGATCGAATATCACCAGGCTCAAGGTTGACTCAGCCTTCCATCCTTCTGAGGTAGGGAAAATATGCAGACTCTGTAAACCGCTTAGAGAAGGCTATAAAGCAATGTGAAGCCGTATATACGTCTAAGTGCTATTGCGATTGCTGTAGTCATGGAGAAAATCTACCCAGGAAAATCTACTCAAGTAGTTTTAGAGTTGAAAATGATGATGGTACATTATCAATCAACCAATGTGGAAACAAATAGTAGAAAGATTTCAGAAATCTAATCTATAATTAATTATTTGATGCACAGCATAAGGGTTTTATTAATTAATCAATAATTCTGCATTTCTAGCTTTTGAATCATCTGGATTGGGTTGGGAGAAGAGGAACATGGAGGCATAGCTCTTGACTGAAAGTGATTTGTACTTTTATCATTCAGAATATATGTAGCTTCTTTCCTGATATCAGTAGTTTGAAATCCCCTAGTTTAAGGAAGATATTTTTTCTTCCATTCCTTCTTACTTACCTGGTGGTCCAAATTTGCCCAAGAATTATTTAGCTTCTGGAGGGTATCCATAACAGCAACACAGACTTCTTCTTTTTTATTTTGTATTAGGGTAAAGCCAGTCTGTTCAACTTTTTCAAGTTCTATCTCTTTTGTTTTTAACTGATCTTCAAGTTCCTGAAGGAAATAAAAAAAATTGTCATATTGTGTTTTAACTGCATAAGGCTTTTTGTAAAATCACTAATTACTAACAACTCATGATTAGAGTTTTCACGTTCAGTACAACAAACAATAAACTGTACTAGTAATAATAAATATCTATTATAAATATACTAGTTTATTTAAAAGTAAAGAATATCTGTGTCAGGAACAGAAAACAATGAATTGGAGAAGATCATAAAGATCTGAAAATTGAAGTTTTCATCTGTTAAAGTTGAAAGATTGTGGCAAATTTGGCCATGGTGGCTCCATTGGCACATTGGTGCCATACCAAAAAATCTTGGATGGCACTTAGAAAAGCTGCACATTGATAAAACTTTCATCTGTCAATTACAAAAGGCCACACTGCTTGGACCCACATACATACTAGATTGATAAATTACAATATCTTAGGTTCTTGGAAAGAATTTGATGTGTATGAAGGCCAAAACCAGCTAAAGAACTGGCAGCTATGATTTTACATTGTTATGTATGTAATAATACATTAAATTCCTATCCTATCTTGCACTGAGTGGTTTACAATTTATAAATATATTTTAAAGCAAAGAACAATACAAAACAAAAACAACACAAACGAAGGAACAGAACTAACAGAGAAAACAAATCCTATAAGAAAAGAGACACCAATAATCTCACCAAAGATTAAACATCCCCAACTCTTTTACCTATAAATAAAAGAGTTCTACCAAATAGAATAGATATTCATATATCATTTATTAACATACCTTAGAAATTATATTAATATTATTGTATTGACTAAGTGGGATTTACATCTGTCCAGATATGCATTACAGTTATATTAACTAGCATTCTGCTCTTCTTTTCAATAAAATAATAAAACAGATTTGGTTCATAATGAATGGCAAAGTTATTTTTACCTGACAGTCTTTTAGGACATTTTGAACTGAAGCTTGATCGCCAATTCTTTGTTGTTCCTTCAGTTTTGTCTCTTGAGTTTCAAACCATGTTTTTAGGTTCTGAATGTTATTTTCATATTCTGTCCATGATTCAAGGAAACCTTCCAACAACTGAATCTAAAAGAAAGAAAGAAAGAAAGAAAGAAAGAAAGAAAGAAAGAAAGAAAGAAAGAAAGAAAGTTAGTTAGTTAGTTCACATGTTTCTTAATTCCAACTAAAAGAAAGAAACATTTCACTGGAAAAAATATAGTGGGTATTGATCCTGTTTTTCTACAATCAAGTTGTTTGCAAAACGTTTTTTTTTTTTTTACAAAACAAGTTGTTTTACCATGCATTTGAAATTGAATCAACATCCACTGTATACTTTAAAGTTTCAGTCTAACAAAAGCAATTAATCAAATTTATTGGAATGATTGATACTATAATGATTGGATTCAACCTAACTGAAGATGAGAAGATTTTTACTTCAGTGCTTTGAAATTAAGTATGATGCTGAAATTAAATTCTTAGTTATAATTTCTTAAAGCAAGCCAAAATTTCTACACATTTTGTGAAATGTATTTCAATTAACCCATTGTTAGAATCAATGCCATCTGCCCTCCCCCACTTGTTGTATCTCAGCAAAAGGTTTGTTATGACAAATAGGAAGTGCAATTTTCTAACTAAGAAGCAGATGCTAAGAACTACAGCATGACAAATAAGGTTATACTATAACTAAACAACAAAACTATTGGTTTGAAATAACAGTAACTGCTTTTAAAGATGGTAGCATTTACTAAATTAAACACAGTATTATTATTATTAGCAACTGATCTCTTCTAGGTTTTTTGGGGGATGTCATTGTTGTTCTCTGGAAAGGTAGATATACAGTATATAAGACTGCATCAATCTGGCTTTGTTGATGGATAGCATTTGATACCATCAGAACAAATGTGCCCATATACCAGTTGGTATACAAATTGCTATCTGTGGAAGACATAGAACACATCTTAATTCTTCCTTCAGAATGCTATTTAGCAGCAGATAAAGTTTCAGATAAACTACGTTAACACATATCAAGTTTATTTCATTACCTTTTCCATTATCAGATTCTGCAAAATCTGCCACCGCCTATTCATCATTCCAAGTTGTTCAGCAAAATCCGTCTTGTCACTACGCTTGCTTTCCACATCCTGACTACTAATCTGCAACACTGATTGGTTAACGAAGTCCACGGTTAACTGTTTACAGCTTACATCAATTTTAAAGCCCTTGTGAAAAACAGACAGAAGAGAAACTCTCATATAGTGCAATATGTATCTTAGCACATGCTGTGTTTTGACTTAACAGTGTTGCATCAAACTTTGCCAAAATTTCTGCTTTAATGTTCACCAGTATGCTAACTTTTTCTTTAATTCATTGAGGAGGAAGGGAAAATTGTAAATTGTTCTCAACATTCTGGGTTATCTCCACTGTGTTGGAAATGTGGAAGAAAGGATGGCACATTCTACCATATTTGGTGGTCCTGTACTGAGG